ATTAAATTCCAATCTAAAGTGTTGATTTCACCATTGTGGCATAGTTATTACCAGACTTCGGTTTTAAATCCTTGATAAAGGAGGGAGTAATTGTTGCATGTTCGGACACCCAAGGTTCCACACACTGCTAAAAGACTTTAACATTGTTTTTTAAGTAGACCAGAATTATAATGAGCTATGAAATGCAGAGCGACACAGATCCTAGTAATGTTTTGACTCAAGATAATAGTTATGTACACAAGTTTATAGTTGAAATCGTGACATATTTTTGTAGACAAAGGATACTGGCCTATGCTGAAATGTCAAAGTCTCTGCAGAGCACGACACATGGCCAAAAAAGACGGAGACCAACTGACCTTTGACCCTGACCGACAGTGTAACTTGACAAGGCACTGTGGATGACTGACTCTGGGGTGAACCTGACCAAACTTCACATGACAACCAGACAGTGTGAGTGTGAATGAATGCCGGCATGTGATCAGTGTAACTGCATGATTCTAAACAATAACCAACCAAGCATGTTTTTGGACTAACATATTATTTTGGAGCTCCAAGGGAAACGAGAGGTTTCCTAAAAATTCCACAAAAAGGGGAAACCGCACATGTGATATTTTCCTCTCACATGAGTTGGCGGTTTGCAAATGTAAAACTAAAATCTGAAGATTCTGTTTCTTTTAGGCCTGAAGGACGGAGAGGAACACTTCTTTTCACTGAAGTGTTCACTGTGGAAATAATGATAATGATGTCAAATTTAAAATAATGTTGGTTATGTCCCTAACCAATTACCTGACAGTTTTTGTTCCCCTCCCATTACAGGCTTTTGTTACACATGATTTCATGTGTAAAAAGGGGGGAGTGTGTATAAGGTATAAATGTCAACATGGCTGTAAAATTCACAATTTAAATTTTTCTTTTAAGGACTGAGCATTGAATGTAATTAACCTGCTCCATATCTGGGGATAAGATACTGTTTGATGAATGTTGAGATGTTTCTAAATATTGATTTGAATTATAACAGGTAACAAAGAAGTAGTGGCCAAGGGGCTACTGTGAAACCGAAGAAGTTGACCTGTGATAATGAAACAATTTTGTAATATTTTAACAGACATTAGAGCAACTGAGGTTTGAAATGTAGAAAGAACATATTACAGTTAAAGCTAAAACATAGTAGTGTATTGAGACAGAATTTAATTTAGACAACATCATGTAACTAGCCTGGTAAAGAAGTAAGAGCCATATACTTTATTATTTAGGTCATTATGGGGATATACATTTCATCTACATTTATAATAGAAAGACATTTGATGACAGTTTGTTGGAATTCTGTATTCATTTTTTCAGCGTGATAATATCTAAGCACTGACAGGTAGAAGCAGTATCACCAGGAAATCATTCACTTTGTTAGCATCGTGATTGTGGTTGTTTTTGAATCCATAACATTAGTGTGTTTCTTTGCCAGAAACATTAGCAGTTCATATTATATTTAGATTTTAAATAGGATTTCATTTAAAAATAAACACGGATGCTTGTCAGAAATTCAGAGCTATTGAAATATGTTATTTAGTTTACCTAAAGATGTTGGGGTTCTTATTTAGTTGGCACAATCCAAGTATTAAGATTCTGAAGCTGCACTGGCAGATAGGAGGGCTACAATTAATTTGGAAAACCTGTTCACAGACGGCTGTTGTTTCAAGACACCCCACCAACAGGCTCCAAGTGGGTCAAAACAGCTGAGCGTAGGCTTGAGGGAGTTGTATCAGATTTCTCCACACAGGTCGCTGGCGCCAAAAGGGGGACCCGAGAAGCACGAGGCCGACAGCAGAGTTCGTCTGGCTGAAAGTCATCAGGACAAAGTGGCTCAACCCCAGGCTCTCCGGCCCCGACCGAGTGACCCAGCGGACCTCTCATGCCGTCTGCCTGGGAGAAAAGGGGGACAGCTCGTACCACGGGAGCCAGTGTGCGGCGGGGAAACCACCTACTAGGACCAGGGGACGACATCAGGACGGACGTGGCCCTGGCAGACGTGGACTACTCGGAAGCAGCGGACTGGAGGAGCAGGACCCTGGAGACATCTCTACAGCATCGACCCGGAAGCCGCCATCAGCGGGCCGGAGGACGAGGAGGAGGAAGACATCTCTCTAGCAGGCAGCCCAGAAGCTGCTGTCAGCGGATTTGGGGAGACAAAGACACGGCAAGCCAGGACGGCACAGGGAACTTGTCGAGGCAGCAGAGGAGTCTACTTCGCTCTGATCAGTTCCACCCGTGAAGGGCAAGCCGCATCTCCCCCTCCCTATTAGCTGTCCTTGTGGGCTATTCCTCCGGGGGGGGGGGCTGATGATTCTAGGACTCAGCTACCCCCTCATGGTTCCTTCACTGCCATGGAAAGTGGTGTTCTGTCTCCATGAAGGTTTCAAGTACTCTAAATACCAGCTTCGGATGGATTTACGGACACAGTAGAAAATAATGACAGTGGGTATATTTCAAAATGCCTTGTCTAAGTTTATCTCTGGAGAAGGAGATAAAAAGGGGGATTTGTAGAGTTATATTTGTATTTATTCATGTTAGCAAACTATGGATAAGCTTAAAATCGGAATAATTTGGGTAAAACTGTGAGCTGCATTTGGGGCCTGTTGACATGTGTTTTTGAGGACAAAGGAAGATGGGGGAAGGTGAGAGCATGTCCTGATTTGCATTCAACTTAGATCTAGCTGCAGTGTTTGTGATATTAAGAGAGGTCTCTTGGGTTTCTCTGGTGGTTATCAACAGTAGCAGTTAAGTGAATACTGTTCAAACAATACCTGTGTTTGTGTTTTATATTGATTTCTCTGTTTTATCCTTTCATAAATGTAAGGACTACAAATGGCTATAAAATTCTGGGCTGGTTGGAGTAAACAGGGTTTTATTGCTCTGTGGGGGAGGTGTAGGTATGCAGGCTTTGAGACCTTTTGTTGGAAAGTGAGCCTGTTTGGTTTCCTGCTGGCCAGCGTTGCGTCTCCTAATGAGATGACCTGAAGAGATGACCAGCTGACCTAACACCAAACCCCTCCTTCTTACTCTGGTATATATCCGGTGGATCCCTGGCGTTCGGCCTCTTCTTCACATGCTGCCCTCGGGTGAAAGTAGCTCTGCAGTATGCGAACCAGGGCAGGAGTAAGCCGGCATTACTCCTTAAGCATTACAATATAACTGTAATATATCATGTTGTATTGTAATGATTGTATTGCATTGTCATATTGCCATTAAAGTAGATTATTGTTAACGGTTACTTTGTAGATATGGATTCCTTCCTGTATTATAACCAGCTTCATAGGAACGCGCGGAGATTTGAAAAGCGGACCAGTTATCCCTTCAAATCTCTAACACTCCCTAGGGAGGTGTTCCAGGCACGTCCAGCTGGGAAGAGACCAAGGGGTAGACCTAGGACCAGGTGGAGGGATTATATCTCTTCGCTGGCCTGGGAGCGCCTTGGGATCCCCCAGTCAGAGCTGGTTGATGTCGCCAGGGAAAAGAAAGTTTGGGGCTCTCTGCTGGAACTGCTACCCCCGCGACCCGACCACGGATAAGCGGAAGAAGATGGATGGATGGATGGAGAGCAAACTAAATCCCAGGTTGAGAAGCAGCAGCAGTTATCGCTCTGAAGCCGCTCCCTTCTGCTGCGGAGATTAAGGAGTAAAGGTGCCACCCTTTTCCTCAGAAGCCTGGTGCGTCTAGATAAGCAATACAGGGGGGGGGGTCTCATTGATAAGGAAATAAGTGTATTATGAAATACCCAGAACGTACCAACACTGTCACATGCGTAGATTAGTGGATAAAAGGGTTCACGAATAACATTATAGTCCAAAAAGTCCTCTTAGCAACTTGTGTATTTATGGGGAAAGTGTTGTATTCCAAAAACCTTGGGAGTTTAATATTAATTTAGATTTCACAAAACAACATAATTAAAACTACAACATAATATAAAACACTTTCTTAACATATGACTAGTTAGAACAGTGACAACAGGCCAGGATCAGGTCAACACAGCTTGTGCTATGTATTGGGGAAACAGCAACGTGCACAACATCACACGTGCACGAGTTGCTGGAAAAGGATCTCTGTTTTTAACGTCACGACGTCGGGAAACAAGCTGCTCAACATTTGATCTGTATCGATGTCAAATATGGAAAGTAGGTTTCTGAGTTGTACTTCCTTGATTACTCTGACCTCATTATGTGACAATTATATCTCAGAATGTCGCTCATTCACCACCCCAAAGGTAAAGCACTTTATGCTGGAGCTCCTCCACATGATCGTATGATGTCACTTCCTGTTAGAGAGGAATTGCTGATACTTAACATGGCATCGCCCGCTTCATTTGAATGATGTCTAATCAATACATTTCTGAGACCTTTAAATCATCTTCAAGATCAGTTATTACCAGAAGAACCCGGAGCATATCATGTGGAAATGTAAAGTGCTCTGTAATGGATCATCAGCACAAAGCACCAAGTAGAACATCTGACTAAATTCAAGATGGCCGCCTTGTTGTGGACCATATGTTTGACCAACTAGGGTCAGGGTTACAACGAGTCTTTTGAATATTATTCTAACATAAACAGTTTGAAAGTAAAGCTGAAAATGATTCAGGTCATCTCGACCAAGATGCAATGCTTTAGGTAACTTTCACCAGTTTAACCAGTAATATTCAGAACACAATAAGTAAGCCACCATTCACCAGATTACAATGAATATATACAATTTACCAGAATGCAATTGATATAAAGTCAACTTTATCTTTTTGCCAGGCAGATCTCTCAATGTGTTCCAAAGAAATAGCAATATAAGTAAAGTATAATTATTTAATCTTGATTAATATTTCTGTTTCTTTCTCAAAATGTGCAGGTTTTCTATATCTAATTAAACTTTACTACCTCATAGAATAATAAATTGTTGCACACACACACACACACACACACACACGTACACACACACTTTTTCACACAAAAACTCAATAACTCCAGTTTCGTTGAACATTAGTTTTATTTCAGCGTTCAGCTTCTCAGCAGCATCAGAGACATTTCAGCCAATCACAGAGGAGGACAATACATATGAACAAATCAGCAACAGGGAGAGCTGTATCGGCCAACCACAACGAGGACATTTATCATAATTATTAAATCTGTTATACGGAGCAGATATTAGATAAATGTTTTTAGAATATTTTCAATTCAAGATTTTAACCAATAAGAGCCAAGCTAGCAGATAACATCGTGGGAATCATTTCACACTTTAGGACTTTGTTTAGGACACATTTGTATTGTTTTTATTTGGCTGCAGGAAGTTCACCTGAGCGAGTATTTAACTTCCCAAAACTGAAATGATTTGTATGTTTATTTGTAATCCATGTGACGTGAATACAGCATTAAAGCAGCAAGAACAGACCAAAAACAGTCACAAATAAAAATACGACAGTGTTTTCGAGCCATTTTAGTTTTTAAAAATTATAATAATACAGAGCTGGAGGGGGGGGGGTCATATTCTGAGAATTCTGTATTGATATTAATATTTGAAAATGTATTAAAGTCAAATTACAAGAAAGAAACTATATTTTGTATGTAAAACTGAGAATACCCTCGATGGAGCTGAGACAGAGGGTGTTTCTCAATGTCAAGGAAGGATCCTTCAGAGCCACTATTTTAAGGATGCTACGTCATCGAGTCTCGCCGAAGGACTGTTCTAATGTCCAGGATGCTTGGAATTCTACCGAGGGCTGAATCCTTCATTGCGGGAAATTTCGAGGATGCACCAGTGTATCCTTGGCGGTCTTAAAATCCCCACAATGCTTTGCGCACGGACCAATTTCCAAAATGCAAGGCGGGGCCTCTCATATGAAGCACACCTGCACACTTGCTCGCCTGTTCCATTCTTCGTTCTCCGAATGCCAGGAAGGATTCTTGCCTAGCCTCTGATGGACCCGACTCGGAGCACATGTCCTACCAAGGAAGCGTCCTCGACATTGAGAAACACCCTGGATTTAACCACTTTTATTAGTTGGGTAGTTTCCGGGACTTTTAACACCAACTCTTTATTAATAATAATAATATATATTTAACTTAAAATGGCGCATAAACACTGTTGTATAAAACAGTATTTAAGACAAACGGATCCGTGAGGGGACCTCCACGAGGGGACCTCCGTGGGGGGACCTCCACGAGGGGACCTCCGTGGGGGGACCTCCACTAGGGGACCTGCGTGAGGGGACCTGCGTGAGGGGACCTGCGTGAGGGGACCTCCACGAGGGGACCTCCACTAGGGGACCTGCATGAAGGGACCTCCACGTTTAAAGTGCATTTTCAGACTGAAAGCTTAAAGTCTTCAGTGTAATAATAATAATAATAATAATAATAATAATAACAGTAGTAAGACTTAATCACTTGAGTTCTCCGGAGTTACAAAATAAATCGCAGGTGACAGGAAACGGCAGCGTGATTTTCAACATAAAAGACCTGTGTTTCAAGACCATAGACTGGTTAAGACCATAGACTGCTAAGACCATAGACTGGTTAAGACCATAGACTGCTAAGACCATAGACTGGTCAAGACCATAGACTGGTTAAGACCATAGACTGCTAAGACCATAGACTGGTTAAGACCATAGACTGCTAAGACCATAGACTGGTTAAGACCATAGACTGGTTAAGACCATAGACTGCTAAGACCATAGACTGGTTAAGACCATAGACTGCTAAGACCATAGACTGGTTAAGACCATAGACTGCTAAGACCATAGACTGGTTAAGACCATAGACTGGTTAAGACCATAGACTGGTTAAGACCATATGGTTAAGACCACCTCAGTGTCGGATTTTAGAAACTTGATTTTGAGTTGTCTCATCATGGCAGTTAGAGTATAGGCGACAACCCAGGGGACTTGACTTCCTCTTGATACCGTCGGTTATTTACAGAAAGCACCTACATATAGCGTAGGCCTACTTGTTGATATTGTGCTTCTGTCTTTCTGTGTCTTCTCATCTGTAAACTCCCTCAACGCGCCGCTCGCTCTCTTTTCTTGATTTCCCTCTCACGGGTGAACAGTTCAATGTCCCGCTTCATTGTAGGATTTCTGCCATGTCTCTACCACTTCAGTTTGACCATCTCTGTTACTAAGTGATGGAATACTAACTAAATAAGTAATTAGATACCTTACCGTGACTGCGCTCATAAAGAATGATGGGAATAAGAATAATACGTATTGAACTGGTTTCATTAATTAGTGAGTTTATTTAAGGTAATTAGTTAGAGGCCCTATTTTATCAGTATGTCTGGACTGCACAGCAGTTACAATGGTCAAACTACATTAGAACAGAATTGTCCCCATGTTGTCTTTAATAGTTACTAACATTAGATATTTTAATGAGATATGGACCGCAAAACATTTATAAAATCAAGTCACCGAATGCAAGTAGTCGCCTTAGCTTATTTTGTTATGAGATGTGAATTACTGTTCAATTTAGTTGATTTAAAAATCGATGGTTTCTTTTACATTAAAAAGTTACAATTTTCAAAAGGGGGGAGGCCCTTTTTCCAGTTTAGAGTAATAGCCCCTCCAAATGTCTGTGCACGTGGTGTCAAGTAATTGAAAGGGTGTTTCTTTAGGTTTCAACAAACCACAGCACTGAGACTGCTCAAAGGTGGGGTTGGTCATTCCCTTCAGAAACACTTGTTGTTATATTCCATGGAATGCTCTTAACATCCCGATAGCAATGAATATCTGAAGTGCTTTGAAGCCGTGGCGCTGTAAAAAGCACGACCAATCATCTGAGCCGGCTAAAGTAATTGGATGGCCTACCTGCCTGTCAGCCTTCCATCTGGGCACACACTGATCTCGTGCCCTCATTGGTCATGTGCGCGTTCGTGTGTGTTGGAGGAGGGGCTCTGTGAGGAAGAGGCAGATTTCTTCCGGCTGTGTATTTTCAAATTCTAGCCACTCGAGCTGGTTTCTCCAAAATGACCTACCCCACCTTTAAAGTCTTATTCTTATGAGATATCAGTTCTAGAACAACTTGGGAGGACTTTCTGAAACAGCTCTAAACCCGGTTTGAATCCTGTCCACAGAACAAGGATTATCTTGTCCATCTGCAATCTGTTCTACACAGGGTCGGCTCTAGAACAAATCGAATGGGGGGGCAATCATTTACCAAGGGGGGGCACACACTGCCGTCAACAACCAACACACAAACACCAACGCAACTACAATTTAAAAAAACATGCTGTAAAGTCTATTGTCTTTCACACACATTGCAGGGGTGCAGGGCTATTGTATAGCGCACCTATGACTTGTGCATACATGCACGGTTGTGGCACGAGTCGCACGACCACCAAAACAGAAACATATAAGGACAGAGGGTGTCGTTTTCTCATACTGATATTCTGCACAAACTGTGCTGTTGTATTTGCTGTAAAGTGTCTCTACTGTAGGTTATTTTTTATTATATGTACAGCACTTTGGCTCCACCAAAAATCGTTGAAAAAGGTGCTATATAAATAAAACTTGATTTGATTTGTTATGGACATAGGCCACCATATAAAAAGTGTACAAATGTATTTAGTATCCTATCCATGTGAACATGTTTTAGGTGGGGGTGGACCTAAGCTCCTCTAGGAGGGTCTGGGGGCATGCTGCCCCGGGAAGATTATCTTTAAAATATTGAAGTTAAAAGCATCAATCTGGTGCACTTTGAGAGCAACATGAAGAGATCTATGGATAGTCTACATCTCTCAAGGCAAGGCAAGGCAAGGCAAGTTTATTTATATAGCACTTTTCAACACAAGGCAATTCAAAGTGCTTTACAAAAAATAAAAGAGATTAAGAAAATGGCATTTAAAATCAGTCATTAAAAGAAAAGCTAATAAAATAAACATTAAAAGAAAAAAGTACATGGATAAAAGTTACAGTGCAGTCTAAGATATGAATAGTTCAATTAAAAGCAGCGACAAAAAGAAAAGTCTTCTTGCTGGATTTAAAAGTAGTCAGAGTTGCAGCGGACCTGCAGGTTTCTGGGAGTTTGTTCCAGATATTTGGAGCATAATAACTGAACGCTGCTTCTCCATGTTTAGTTCTGACTCTGGGGACAGAAAGCTGACCAGTCCCTGAAGACCTGAGAGATCTGGATGGTTCATCATTTAGCAGGAGGTCAGAAATGTATTTTGGGCCTAAACCATTCAGTGCTTTATAAACCAGCAGCAGTATTTTGAAATATATTCTTTGACACACAGGAAGCCAGTGTAAAGACTTCAGAACTGGAGTGATGTGATCCACTTTCTTAGTGTCAGTGAGGACTCGAGCAGCGGCGTTCTGAATCAGCTGCAGCTTCCTAATAGATTTTTTTAGTGAGACCTGTGAAGACACCATTACAGTAGTCCAGTCTACTGAAGATAAAAGCATGGACAAGTTTTTCCAAATCCTGCTGTGACATTAGTCTTTTAATCCTAGATATATTCTTTAGGTGATAGTAGGCTGATTTAGTAACAGTTTTAATGTGACTGTTGAAACTCAGGTCAGAGTCCATGACTACACCTAGATTTCTGGCTCTATCTGTTGTTTTGAACATTGCAGACTGAAGCTCAGTGCTAACTTTTATACGTTCTGCCTTGGCTCCAAAAACCATTACCTCAGTTTTATCTTTGTTTAATTGGAGAAAGTTCTGACACATCCAGTCATTGATTTGTTCAATGCACTTACTCAGTGTTTGAATTGGAGCATAGTCTCCTGGTGAAATTGTTACGTAAATTTGTGTGTCATCTGCATAGCTATGGTAACTTATTTTGTTGTTCTTCATTATCTGAGCCAGTGGTAGCATGTAGACGTTAAAGAGAAGAGGCCCCAGGATGGAGCCTTGAGGAACCCCACATGTCATATTTGTCAACTCAGATGTGTATTTACCGATAGAAACAAAGTTGTTTCTGTCCTTTAAGTAGGATTCAAACCAATTCAGAACTGTTTCCGAAAGTCCCACCCAGTGTTCCAGTCGGTCTAGTAATATGCTGTGGTCAACAGTGTCAAACACAGCACTGAGATCTAATAATACTAACACTGAAGTTCTGCCACTGTCTGTGTTTAAGTGGATGTCATTAAAGACCTTTACAAGAGCAGTCTCAGTGCTGTGGTTTGGACGAAAGCCTGACTGGAACACATCAAAACAGTTATTTAAATGCAAGAAATTACTCAACTGTTGAAAAACAACTTTTTCAATGATTTTACCTAGAAATGGGAGGTTTGATATGGGCCTGTAATTGTTCATTACTGAAGCATCTAGATTATTCTTTTTTAAGAGCGGTTTAATGACTGCAGTTTTCAGGGCCTGTGGAAAAAATACCTGAGTGAAGAGATTTGTTTACTATATGAAGTAGATCTGAGGCCATGCAAGGCAAAACATCTTTGAAAAATCCTGTTGGAATAATATCAACGGCAGCAGGAGGAGGATTCAGAAGTTGAATAATGTCCTCTAGGTTTTTTATCATTAATCTGATGGAATTGTGTCATGATGTCTGAATTGATGTTAAGTGGAGATAGGGACAACATATTTGCTGTTCCTGATGCAGAGGCACTGACTGCTTGTCTGATTTTTCTGAATTTTGTCAGTGAAAAAGGCAAAATCATTGCACGCCCTGGTGGATAGAAATTCAGAGGCTACTGACACTGGGGGTTAGTTAGTCTGTCGACGGTAGCAAACAAGGCACGTGCGTTGTTTTTGTTTTGGTAATGATTGTCAGAGAAGAACGATTGTCGTGCGTTTTTCAATTCCAAATTATAAAGGCCAAGTCTCTCTTTATAGATTTCAAAGTGAACCTGGAGATTTGTTTTTTCGCCACCTGCGTTCAGCTTTTCGACATTCTCTTTTTTCTGTTTTCACAGTCATGGCCTTTCTCCATGGAGATATTTTCTTTGCCAGACACTTCCTTTACCTTAGTTGGAGCAATGGCATCTATAACATTTTTAATTTTTGAATTAAAATGATCTACTAGCTCATTTACTGAGATGTTGGCAGGGGGCAAGTGTGGAAGAGAAATTCTGAGTAACATTTCCCTAGTGTTTTCAGTTAAATATCGCTTTTGTGGTTACCTCTTTTTGAACATTTTTGTGAACAGAAATAGAGCTCTCAAAGAAAACACAGGAATGGTCAGAGAGTGCAACATCAGTCACCACAACCTTAGAGATATTCAGACCCTTTGAGATAATTAAGTCCAGAGTGTGCCCCTTATTGTGCGTGGGCTCCGTCACATGCTGAGTCAGTCCATAGCTATCAAGAACACAAAATAGTTCTTAGCCCCTCTGTCCTGGGGGTTGTCAACATGGATGTTAAAATCACCAACAATGACTAGACGGTCAAAGTCAATACACACTATAGACAGCAGTTCAGTAAAGTCATCAAAAAGCTTGCACAGTATTTGGGTGGTCTATAGATATTAGGAACAGAGCTCGAGAGGAGCATTTCAGCCGAAGGGCCACATATTCAAAAGAATCAAAGTTTCCATACGATGTCTTCCTGCATTGAAGGGAATCATTGAACAGAATAGCAACTCCACCCCCTTTCTTATGCATTCTTTCCTGACTCATAAAACTAAAGTTGGGAGGGGTTGATTCGATAAGAACAGCTGCACTGTTATTTTGTTCAATCCAAGTTTCTGTTAAAAAACATAAATCGAGATTGTGCTCAGTGATAAAATCATTGATTAAAAATGTTTTTCCTGCCAAAGACCTGACATTTAATAAAGCTAGTTTAAGTTTGTTAAACACACTATCAGTCATGTTTTTTTGTAACAAGCTGTGGCTGACATGGAATCACTGCTAAATTAGATAAACTCACACAAACGTTTGAGCGCTTCCTGTTTCTATGATTCACCGCTCTTAATCTATTACCTATCAACACAGATATCGGCAAAGCTACTGGCAGGCAGGGCCCCCGACATGTCCTGGAAAGAGTTTGAGAGTGCCATACGCCCTCTCAGCATCCATATGAAACAGAACTGTACACAGATTTACTTTTTCTTAATGGATTATTTTTACTAATCACTCCCCTTTTTAAACTGTATTCTTGTGTTACTGTTCCTA